ATAACATTTGGGCAGTGTTTTAAGTTTCGAGTGATGCATACTTTTTGGAATCACAGCTCTTATTCTGTAGTTTGAAGGCTACGAATGATGCACCCAAAAAGTCTACGTGACTTAGATGCGACACGCGCTGTTTGTTCGGAAGGTATTAGGTCACTGGAACATCTAAGACCAAGATCCAGCACTGAAGTAAATCTCAGCAGCTTTTGTCCACATACCTCGAAAGGCACGGCTAGGTTATCCGCTACCGTGCTAAGCCAGCCACATTTATCAATTTTGAACCTGGGATGGGACTCACAGCAGTGTGCAGCAAGTTCACCCAATTGTTGTTGAGCAGCAGATATCGCATTGCTTGGCCTGTGGGTGTGGCATTACTATGCAACCTTAAAATGGACGGTTATATCACTAAATAGTGAACTATCCTGATGGATTGACAACGTCGGCTCGTTACAACGCAAACTTCCTAATAGTGGAACACATCTGTGTGATGGGAGACAAAACGCATGCCCTTCTCTTGAACTGCGGCCAGTCTTGACCAGATTATGCACATCAATGACTTGATATGCGGATTATCTAATACTAAATACTATTCTGTAAACTTTCAAGAATTATCAACTTGACTTCGCTTGTAAGCTGGTATCTCTCATGCCAAATCTGTTTTGTGAGAATAGGAATTCTTTTGACTTCACTTTGACGCTCAGCATACGCTGAAAAGTGGTATTTTCTGCTTTGTCCCATAACCCCTGTCTGATGTTTGTCGTAGAGTTTGACGACCTCCCGTGTGTACTATCCATTACTCGAAAAATCTTCCAAATTTTTCAACGTATATCAATATGATGATGACTGTAAACTGACCTCTCTCATGTTAAATTACTAATGTGAGAATAAAACATAGATTTATTATTATTTATTTATATCATCGATGTATGGGAATGTTGCCCCTGAAGTGAATCACTTAGACGCGTTATTAATATAACTAATAACTAACTAACTAACTAATAATAACTAACGATAAATGCCCAATGGCACCACCTTGTATTGCTTCACTAGTTATGTGCCTAGGTCTAGATTGCACAACGTTTATTTTAAAGATTTGACTACGATCACCAAGAAATAATTTTAGCCAACAAATCAGCTAGCCATGTGTGCCAATCGATTGTGGCTTGTCAAAAAGCATATTATTTGCCACCTCGTCAAATGCCTTTGATATGTCTAAGTACAGAACAGCGACGATTTTACGTGCCCCGCGCCCACTAGCGATAAGGTTGGAGAAATCAAAATGGAGGGCGACGTAAGACCTATTTTCAGTGAAACCGTGCCGAGACTTTGTAATGAGATTTTCTTCAGTCAGGTAATCGAAGATGTTGCTCCCACGCACTCCGTCCACGACTCAAGAGACTACTGGTGTCGTGTTGATAAACCTGTAGTGGCTAGCCTTGCTACCGGGCTTATAGCGAAGAGCCATGAAGCTGGTTTTTCACTGGCTGGGATAACCCCCACTTTCCACTGATAGTGTGAATATCTTAAGCAAGAGAAATAGCATGTCACCACCACCATTCCCCATGAATATTGAGTTTAGGCCAGTGGCAGTGGGTCCCTGAGGGCACAACAGCTCACCATATAACTGTTATGGGATTATTAGGAAGGAATTGTAGATTTTTAAACTGGCCGAATTAGGCTGCCGCACCATACCCAGGGGGGCTTTTTTATTCATCCCCCGTGCAACAACGTACCCGCAAACTAGACGATTGCCCATAGGATACTGGTAGCCGTATATTATTGGCTACGCAACATTCAATGACACGCGAGATTGATGGTGCGAGCGTTTTAAATCTCTCGTGTTTGCGATTATCATTGACACAATTTGACCGCCGTGGTTTCTAAACCTTAAATTATCGTGTAGGGAGTATATTTTTGAAACATTGCACTGAGAACTCTGTACTGTGTTAAAAATATTGTCTGATATAAAGTAAATATTGTTGCTATTGTTTTAGGTGAAGTACAAGAACTAATTGTTGTCGATCGCAAATGGCCGTCATGAAGTTACAGTTGTCAATGTGACAAGCTATGCAGGATCTCAATATCAATGACATATACCGTTTTGATGCAATAATGCTGTCACTAAGCACATGCTGAAGAGCTTCCTCCACAATTCCAGAGACTGCGAAAGTAACTTTCACCGGAAAAGTAACAATTTTGTTCTCACTAGTCACATAGAATATAAACGGTATTTGTAACGTTATGCCCTTATTCCTCAACTTTAGTCCCCAGATGCGACAGACTGGCCGGGGTTGGGCCGACGGGAAATATGCAGGTGTCATGTAGGTACAAATGTGTGGGTAGTTTAGAAGGAAAAGGGAATGGTTGCTAAAAGCACCACATTAGGAGGTCAGATGTAAGAGAAATAGAAAATGAGATAACGTATTGATATATCCACGATATAAAATGAGGACAGCTGTAGGCACCGATATTCAGTAGCAGAACACAGAAATAATCTTCAAGAAGCGGGGACAGAGGGTAAGGCGGGAACTTGTAATAGCCATATTTATTATATATTTCGAATAATGAACAACACGAGCACATGCCATTTTCCCGAGTAATATCTGAATGTTAGATATGACAGAAATAAAACTACTGAGAGTTGCGCTGGGCCGAGGTTTTTGTCCGGACGCTTAATGTGTACCCGCATTTGAAACTAATCAGATGCCAAAGCAATCAGGCTTAGCTGCCCAACAGATTAGGGTGGGGCTCAGGTTTCCACCTTATAATCTGCTAAATAGCAGCCGCCATCATTCCCATTTTTATGAAATGCTGGGCCCTGGCGATTTTTTACCATTCCCCTTACAACAGTGTGCTCTGGATGCTTTCGTTGGTACATTCCATGAGGCTCAGTATGGCTCCCAAATAGGGAGGGCATGAACTACCAACATTCTGGGAGCCCATGACAACTGGGGAGCATGCTGAGGCCTATGAGCCCTTGGTCATGAGATTTTTCTATGTCTCGTCAGGGTCGCTGGGACAATCACACACGCCATCATTCTACGGGAAGTCACACAGTTGATTATTAATCTCTCGGTGGTGTTTGAGCTGGAATACGTCTAAACTTTCGGGATGTATGCGAATAAGTCGACAGGGAATGCTTAGCTAGGATAGTATCATTGTCTGGCGTAGCACAAGGAGCTGATCTGGTTTAACTCACATTCATACTTTTTGTGTATGTCGTTCCATTAAATCTTGGATCTCCGATCCTATTGTGTAGTTACGGAGAGCAGTGAAACCCGAAGAGAGCAGGATCGCACTGCGGGACGACCTCAGAAACTTTGAACAGTGGGTGAGATATAAAGAAATTGCATCTTACCTAAGTAAACCCCGAACAGTGTTTATTCACACCCTTGCTACGCACAAGTTATCCTACTGTCTCTATGGTATTCATACTTCTCCACAAACACGCCTTTAATGCTAAGTGTCAATGTGCATCTTCCAATAGACGCCTCTGGGGCCTACGCAGTACTGCACCAACCGTGTAGGCAATCAAATGCCCTATTCAGGGAGCTCTCCGTTCATCCGTGCCAGACCTAGATATGGCCTTAGACAGATATCCACAGTATAATCGCACTGTCATACCTACTTACTGATGAAAGCGTCCTGGAGACAATCAACAGAGGGTGCTGCGGGAAGTGGCAAGACTGTACGACGAACCGCTAAGAGGCTTACGTGTTCATACACTTAGGAACCGTAAGACGTGTGAAGATTTCTCGACGGCTCAAAGAATACTCAGCCACTTATTTCGCCGGAACACAGGAATCTTACCCATTGGTTACTGTGCCGATCGCCATGGAAACCCGAGGAAGACAGTGCATCAAAGTGCATAGGCTTTTGTGCGGCGATAATTCTTCGAGTGTGGGGTCACAAAAACACACTGACTGCCAAGGTAGCTGCCGCTGCATCCGCCGGGGGCTTCAAGAATGTTTCGGACAGATACCCAGTCCGCGTGTGGCTGTGTAGCTGTATTTCTTTCTAAGTTGCCGACACACAGCTAATATCATCACCATCTTTACTGCGGCTATCCCTTCTATAACTTTCCCTGATACTTCCCTCTAACCCTTTGTTGTTCAATAGTATTTCATTAAATACTCCTCCTCACTCTCCTCTTCCCTCTCTTCCCTGGATTCATTCAAGCATTTACTTCCGTCTTTTCTTTGTATCAACTCAATCTTTGCTACCTTTGGAATAATTGACAACCTCTTGAGTACTTCTGTCTTTCACCTATGGTAAACTGGGACAATTTTCTGGCGACGCAATATTTGAGGGTCTCATCCGCACCGCAGTCCAAAAACAAATCAGGTAGCTTTCTGAAAGTATATTGAACACAACCAGTCACTTGGCCTGGTATAGCTGCTGCAGATTAGTGGTTCGCGTAACTGCCTTGATTTCAGAGTATGAGATTCAGATTCGTTTTTTTGAGGATCGAAGGCTGTGAGGCCACACTGATCCTGTTCCAGTCGATTTTAATGACTTTGCAGCCCTCTTTTGATGAACCGGACACCACTTCTTCTTAGGAGTGGTTCCAGAAGTCTGTTACTTGATGCAAAAACCAGCACTCTGTGGAGAATACATTCGTTCTTTGCCTTTCTATTCTTTTTCTATGTCCTCTGAGATGCCCCGACCTAGTTAGAAGGAAAAGATAAGATAGATCAGATCTACACTCACCTTTTAGAGTTCATTATAGCATAAATAGACCTCCCTTCTGTCTGAAACAGGAAAAAGAGAGGTGGTTAAGCTTCTTACGGCGATCTTCGCAAGTCAGAGATCATGTGAATGGCTGCCTTTCAAGCTCTTTCCAGAAGGTCTGGGTCACATTTCAGGCAAGAATTTACCACTTGTGCACAGAAAGTCAGAACCGTTGGACAAAACCAAAAAGTAAACGCCAATAAGCCAAATGGTTTATACAAAATCGTTATTGCATTTATTTAATATTCAATTTGTTCACAACCGTTAACATTGCTTTTGACGTTTATTTGTGCACTTTTGAAATGGTCAGTCGCAAAGGTGCAATGACAACGTTTTCAGCTATGTAAGGAAACACTTTGAACTTGATGTTGTTTAGGAAATGTTTTCAGTGGGGAGTAACTGAATGCATTTACGATGGGCGAAAGTGTCTTGTTATTCGAGGGAATATAACAGATGAGACTCTTAAAAATGTTGACACAAATATAGATATCCTGATAATACAAAAGTGTAAACTACACGCGTTAGAGCGAAAACTACAGCAATTCAAACCTATTCAAATATTAGTCCTGAATGAAGCGTTCTTAAGTGTACTACCTCTGGATATTTGTTCTTATAGTTTTTTGTCATTGTTGGATATTTCAAACAATCTTTTGTGCAGTTTGCCTCATGAAATCGTTGAGTTAACTTCACTCACTGTGTTGGACGTTTCAAAGAATTGTCTTGAAGATATAGACGTAATATGCGGTTTGTCTGGTCTTCAGTTTCTCGATGTCACGGAAAATAAGCTAACGAAACTGCCACGAACACTTTGGAAGCTCAAAGGATTGCAGTCCCTTTCTTGCTCATCTAATCAGATTGCTTATCTGCCAGAGGAGGTTGGTTATTTGAAATGTCTTACTATCTTGCGGGTAAATAATAATAAGCTTTCGTCTCTTCCGCGGTCTTTTTCAAAATTAACTGACCTACTGCTTTTGCAACTTGACGGGAATTACTTTGACCATATTCCTTCTCAGATTTTTAGCTGTACTTCTTTGTTGGAGTTGAGTATGTCAAATAATGTGGTTGAGGGTAATCTTCCTGCAAGAATAAACTCCTTGTCTGCTTTGCGTACGTTGAATTTGGCTCGCAATAGGATATCTGGGTTTCCATCTGAACTTGAAAAACTGGAGTGTTTAGAGTACTTAAACATCAGTGATAACCCAGTTAAAAAGTTGTCACTTCCCTTGGCAAAACTGCTACAAATTCAAGAACTTTCTGCCGCGGGATGTGGATTATCATGTGTCCCAGATGATCTTGGTTTATGCTGTAGTCTCATTATTCTTGATTTGAGCGGAAACAAAATCGATAGGTTGGCTAATGAGAGCTTTTGTCTCGCACAGCTGACTTCCTTGTGTTTGGCATATAATATCATCTCAAGTTTACCTGTTTCAATCTGTGAACTGAGAAACCTGGTTGTTTTGGAGCTGCAATTCAATAAATTGAATTCACTTCCAGAAGACTTTTGGTGTTTGTCACGCACACTTCGTCAGTTGGACCTAGGACATAATGCATTTGAGACTATCCCCCTGTCCATTTTCCATTCTGGGAGCCGTTTGTCTTATCTGTGTCTGGATTCAAATCCGATCTCGGAAGTTCCAAATGAAATAAGCAACTTGAAAGAACTAACTCACTTGTCTGTTTCCGACTGCAGTCGACTAGTGCGCTTACCTGAGGGTCTGGGATTATGTTCAAACCTCCGTATGCTAAAAGTTGCTAAAAATAAGTTATCATTCGTTCCAAAGTCTCTAGCTAAACTGGAATCTCTGAAGTACTTGGATCTCTCAAATAATGACTTCGAAAACTTTCCATTGATTGTTTGCTTTATACCAAGGCTTCGTGTGCTTCTTTATGATCAGGGTGAGGGAAGGCCGTTGTTACCACATGAAAATACTGATGGATGGTACCGCAAAAGTTTAGTCTTGCACCCTGAAACAAATGACCTCTGTAACCCACAGTTCGTGGATAATTTCGGAGGAAGTACGGGAGCCTCGGTTGAAGATATTTTGTTGGGAACACCGACTATCAAAGGCCTCCCGTCAATGATTGAAAATCTTATACATTTGGTTCATTTGTCTCTTCAATCAAACGGGTTATATATATTGCCTGACGTGTTCCACAATATGAAATTGCAACGACTAAACGTGAGCCATAATCGTTTGCATCATCTTCCTCCGAATTTCCATAATTGTAAGTGTCTAACGCATCTATATTTGCACAACAACAATATCGGTCAGCTTGACCAAAACTTTCGACAGCTAAGAACCCTACGCGTATTAACTCTACAGCAAAATCCTCTTGTATGTCCTCCAGTGGAAGTTGGGTCGGAAAAGAAGGTTTTACCAGTATTCGCGTACTTAAAACAACAGAATACGTATGAAGGTAAGCCTTTTCTCTCCATGTTCAGATTACTATCTGACAGATTCAAATGATATTAACGTTCAGTTTGTTTGACAGACGTTTTTATTCCCTACCATTAGTGCATTTAGTAAGGTGCAATAACAAGGTAAGGAAAGACTTCTGGTTGCATGGGCAGTTAATTTAATCATAGGCTTCTAAAACAACAAATGGAGTTATGCGTAAACGGCTATTCTGCTTGTCGTACCTAAAGGCAATATAAAGATTATCTCCAGATAGTATGTGTCAGTTTGTTTATACTGAGAAACTGATACAACACAAGGAGTCAATGTGATTATCTTTACTGTAGTGCAGAATACGTGTATTCAACATCCTCAGGAGTATGGTTAAACCAGCTTTCGTCTATAACATGTTTACGAATATACTGGCATAAACACTATTCTATACCAGAAATCAGCAGTGGGTTAGATTTGCTTAGGCTGTTACACGAGATAAACTAAGGACAAAAGAAATAATACGTAGGCACAGACAAATAAAATAACAGACTGCTTGACGAATCGAGACACTTTTGCAAAAGCCAAGCGCTGAATATGGAAGTTGGAAGTAGTTTCGACGTCAGGTTTTCGTGCAGGATGGCAAGATTTATCGGGTTAAGATGCTACACATAACTATGCCTTTTGCTCTTTTTACCAGATAAGTACTATAACTTGGCTTTAAACGTGATGGTTTTAATTTTTAACTCCATTGGTTCTAATTTTGTAGTTTAGTGCTGTATTTTGACGTGTTCTAGGTTTTCACTGTTTCTTATGTTGCATTCATTTTCCTAGAGGATGCAGTGAGCAAAAGCATGAGGTAGTAAATGTTTATCAGCTGATTTTGAGTAACCGTCTCTTTATTTATGCATAAACAGAGTGGTACCATTTGTATCAAGGGATTTATTTCAACAATAATGTAGTAATAGATCTTTTGATACTGTCATTTCATTTGATAAGAATCGGAATAACATTATCTTCATCTTTTCTGGTCACTTTTGAGCAATGCATCACTGCCTATTCAACTGAAAATTTAAAAGTGTGAAGATACTTTGTGGTTGTTTATGTTGCGAAACACTGACTTTTTGTTCACTTCTAGATTTCGCCAGGATTTTGCTGTCAAAACTATCTAGCCAAAATATTTGAAGTGTTGACTCAACCTTTTGTTTTAATTTTCGCGGTTGATCATGAAGAAGATATAGTCCAGCTTCCTAAAAGAAACAAATTCAGCCACATCATGCGCATCCACAAGGTAGGCAATAAGCCACACCTATTGTATGGAGGCTAGTGATACTATCTGACTGCCCAAACCTCGGTAGGTGGGGCGGGATTCGAACCCGTAGCCCACTGGTTGATAGTCATCTTCCTAAACTACTGAGCCAGTTACCATGAAATTGAGATTCTATTTAACAACGTTTAAAGAGTTTAAACATGTTTTTGCATTTTTATCCTGTTTTTGGTTTATACTGGATACTGGATACATCAGGTCGAACAAATCAGGCTTGATAGCATGAAAAAAAATGGAAACGCAATTATTCGATATCGTTTGATACTTGTAATTTCCCACTGCTACACGGGGTCGAGTTACTTGACCTTTGTTGGCAGACGGGCTCCGCAGGTATCAAAATAGTGTCCGTTGCACAAGTGGTGGCTCTCGGGCCCCAGTGGCCTAGTGGATAACGCTTTGGCGTTTGAAGTGGAACACTGGGTTCCAGTCTCAGTTAGAACAATGTCACTCACTGAGATGCAGGTATATCCAACTGACGAGTCTCAGATGGGGCAAGCGCCCGTCTTGGATCCCACTGTAAGTCGCAGAGATGAATACAACAATTATGTGAGTTATATAGAGGAATTGTGTTAGTTGAGAGATTTAGGGGTCATTTCAGTTACTTATTTGAATTTATTTACTATGATTATCTTCCCATTATTGTACTGTTTTCCAGTACTTCTCTTTCATCTTTCACTGACACTTGTAGTAAAACTTCGATTTCCTATAAGCAATTGATATTTTTATTGCAGGTTATTTTCCCGCGCTGTGACCCCATTGTAAATATAATTCTTATATTTTTGGGTTTTCAGTCATCTGGTAGTACTGACTACAGTAGAACCACGTGGATAAATCTTTCCACTGTGCAGTGAAGTTTCCTCAAATTATTTCACATGATCAGTTTTTGTTAGGTAATTTTTGATTCAAGACCTCCAGTTGTTTTCAGTGATTTTCATTCATGATTCTGGTCAAGTAACTTCATAAACTATTAACTTCATTTGCCTACTTGGTCACTGTTCAAAATTAGTGGAAATTATTTTTGTTGAGGTTTGTAAATGCAGTGATGTCATGGTGTTGCATTTTGAGCTGAGTAGAGCTGAGTCTGAATTCCTTTTAAAGTTTTGTTCGTACACTAACAGACATGGAGAACACTGCATATTAAATCAGGTTATACAAATGCTCGTTGGGAATTCATATCAATGATATTTATGTGGGGACCTTGCTTTATTAATGGAGAGAAATCATGAACACGTCGCCACTGTTTATTTCAGACACTGAAGAGCAGGTGTTTCTCTGAAAAAAAGCTGTTAGTCAACGAATGACCATCGCAAGTGGTTTTTTCTTTGATAATATAAGACAAAGCTTCAAAAGCGGACAAAAACATTCGACCGAGTGCAAAAGTATGTCTTTCCAAGGTGCCATATTTCGTGACAACAGTAAATACGGTAAAAAAATTGTGATTACAGGAGAATCTAATAGCAATAATAAACGAATTCGTTTCCAGTCGTTTAAAGTTACTAGTGAAGGCAGACAGACAAACAAAATCAATGTAGAACCTCGCACATACGTGCATTGGTTCAAGGTGCCATACCTGACAGTAGTATATTAAGAACAGGTCGGTGGAAAAGGAGTGAATCAAAGTAGACAGTTTTTTGTGAACAAATAATTTGAAGATAACGGATAGTGCAAATATTCAAGCTTTAGTAGATCTGTGCCGTTGTGACCGATTTCCAGCCATCTCACTAAGAGTCCTTAATCACGAACACGTGCTAATCAATTCAGTAAGTGTATGTATATGGATGATACATCTGGAGGCTTATTTCGTCGAAATTGTGTGTTTGATAACCTATCATATAAGTTCCATTGTTGATGGTTTGACTAAATATTTCTAGGTTAGCCAGAGAAAACATCTCGCAACTATGACCGAAGGCTAACAGTCATGTGTCTGCATTTTGTTGAGAAGTATTACGAAGAATTTCCTAGATGTATTCAGTTGGGTTCCAACTCATAAACTCGATGGTAATGTCATTTCAAAAGTTTTTCTAGTTTGTTGTCGAAACAGGCTGAGTATTGTAGTTGTTTAAAATTCCTAATTAGGAGTAAAAATGTTTTCACTAATTTTCAGTTTCAAAATTGAAGGAAAACTATGAGCAGCAGTAGTAGCAATAACACAGGTGTTATTACCAATAACAGTAATAATGGTGGCAGGGTTGACGGAGAATTTAAAGCCTCCACTGCGTCACCGTTCAAAGAAGGGATCTCAAAAGTGTTACGAAGAATTCTTAATATGCCTGGGATTAGAGGGGCATTTAAACCAATAAACTCGCCTAGAAGCAAGCTTCGCAGGTTTTAAAAGATCCTACTGATCGAACGAGGCAACATAATTTAGTTTACCAAATCCCTTGCAATGTTTTCAAAGTTAAACACGTGAGTCGAAATAGTCGACCGGCGACAATTCGAATAAAGAGCACAAAAACTTAGCTAAACTAAGGTTAGTAGGTCCTAATAAGATAAGAAATTTAGAGGGAAGCTCAGCTGTAAAAAAGCACCCAGTTGCACACAATAGGGTGGGATACAGTGACACTATTACAAACTTAATTGTATCCAGGGAGAGATTGATAACCGAATCTTTGTTTATCGAATCAACACGAAATACGTGCAATAGGAATGGTTCTTTATCTGCTCCATATATATGAAGAATTCTACTACCCTTATCACAAAGAAGGAGAGAGGATTAGAACTAGACAAATCCCCTTTCAAAGTTATGGAGTTACCTTATATGAATATGGACGCTAAATAAATTGTGTCCGAAATGTTATCGAGTAAATCATACTGTTTCATTGTGTGACATTTCTAATAAACAGACTAAAATGGGATTGCAATTAATCAGTGTCCAAGTTTGACTTCTACATTAACTTTTCGTGTTCTCTTAGCTCTTTAGATAGTTTCAGTCTACTACGAACTGTTATCCGAATAGACAGTTATGTTATTATGATGGCTTCTAAATGAATTACAATTTACCCTTTTCCATCGTATAATTAATTCTTTACCGCATAGATTTCATTCTCAAGTCTCTATGTCAGATGCTTATAGATAACTTTCCGAAGGAGAGCACACACAGTCTCCTCCGTAAAATTGGCTTTTCTGATTCAATGATAGAATCCTTGGAAAAACAATTTCCTGGAGGTTATAACCATGTCAAACGCCTAAAGATTGCATTGGAAGCGTGGTCAGGTTTTTCTTTTGTCTCTGAAATTTTAAATGATGAAAATAAAACAGAATCATATTCTAGTCAACAAATTAACGACAGCAAAAATTTCACTTCATCTGGTATACCTATTGAGTCGGACGACGAAACATCGGTAGCAGATGAAGATTTGCATTTGAAGTTGATTGAAAAAAAGGATTCCTTGTCTTCAAGTGTTAAATTATTTAAAAAAATGATATCTAATTCCAGTGCCAACCCATACCGACTTCTACACATCATACACTTGATTGGTTTAGACGATTTACACTCCAAGCTTTTGGAATACTTTCTGAAAACTCAACAAGTACGTTTTTGAACTGAGAATCTTCTCAATCAATGTGATAGATTGTTATTACTATCGTTTTTATTTAGTCTTTCCTGTTTTAGAATATTTTTTTCTTTTCAGTCATCTTTTTAATTTTAATATAACATCTGTTCTACAGAAAGACAATTAGTAGATTAGAAATAAACGCTACTAGTAAAGTTTAAGACTTATTTACTTCATTTGTGTATCAACCTTTAGACGTATGGTTTATCTACATCATCAGGATTGATATAAGACCAGGAATTACTGCGTAACGGTCTAAGTTGCCACACCTCAAATCAAGTAACAAGGCAATAAAATGGAATATGAAGACGGAAGGAAAAGTCGGTCGGAAGAAGTAGAAAACAGTAAAAAAGAGTAAGGAATAATAAGATAATGAGATTAAGTATAGCTGTTAGGATGAGGATAAGTTGTACCACTCATGTCTGATACTTTTAATAATCATGTTTCACAGCCGTAGAGTAGAACAGAGCGGACTACAGTACAGTACACTCCACCCTTAATAGACAATCGAATATCTCGGCGGCCCCACAAATGGTGTAAGTTACCAAAAGCCAACCGAGCCTTTTGTATCTGTGCAGAGATTTCATTAGCTAACCAAATAGATATCCTTTCAGTTGAAAATTTCTTATTCACTTCCTCCTAATGTTGTGCTAATCCAGCATGTGAGTAACTCTTATTTTTGCTTATTGGTGTATCGATTCTTACGTTTATCATAAATCATATACAATTGTTTGACTACCAGGTGTCGTAGTTACTGAACAAGGAATTTTGAGTGGAAACTGTTTAGTTTACCGTCGATGGTAGTTATTTTATCAAATCTGTGATGTACCCTTCGTGCATGTTTGTACATAAGATGTTGATTGCAAGACTAGATATAGTTAGTTTTAGACTTGTGTGCAAAAGCGTTGTTCACTGCTTGAGGCTAATTAACCGCCTGATAAATCGTTTCTCAAAGTGAAATACCTAATGAGGCCTACAAGATAGAATTGTCTAATAGCATGATAGGAACTTTGTAGATTCCGTTTCAAAGTGATATACAGTAGTCATCAATTGAATATTTATTTCCTATTCGAGTTAGTAAAATCAGTTGTTTTAAGGGGTTTTCTATTTTGTTTAACATAAAATTCACATGACTGTTACCTGATGCATAGATTTTTATTAATTCTTCAGGTGACCCAAAATTTATACTTTATGCGGTACTGAAAGTACTTGCTAAAAGTACTTTGAATACTCAATGTTACGAAAGTACTTTCTGTAGTTATGTTGTTGCTACTTACTCTGTATCTAAGGAAACATCCATTTATTACGAATAATAAAAACAACAACTTTTCTAGTAAAGAGGTATTTATTTTCAGTAACCTAATGGTGATGTTTTACAGTCGTATTTATCTTTGGTTAAGCATCATTTAATTGTTCTAGAGAACTGCTCAGCTCAGTTTTACGTGCTATAGCTGGGGCGGCAAATTATTGAAGAGGGCAAATCAATTGGATGATCATTAAAGAAGGAAATTCGCCCTTAGGAGATAGAGCATATATCAGGTGCTGTAAAATTGCATGAAATAGTAATAAAGATGGTGATATTGATGATTGATTGTGGTTAGCAGTAGAATCCACAACTTGCGTTTTATCCTATTCGGGACTTGTCAGCTGGATGTACCTGCCTGTCAGTGAGCGATGTTATCTCCAGTAGTACTGGAACCAGGGACCGATCGCTCCAAACTCTTGAGCGTTATCCACTAGGCCACCGGGTCACGATAACCACTTCTTGTGCTACGGGTATGGTTTTTATATTGTTACCCGTATTATCCCGTCGTTGTGTAGACCGAATTGATCGGTCTCTATTGACACATAAGCTGCTGTGCGGATGCCTCACTATTGGCTATGTTTCAGTTTTAAATTAATGATGGATAGTGGCTAGCAGTGGGATCTATGACACGTATTTCTTCCTCTTTGAGTGTCTCCGAATGAGCGATGTTTTCCCCACTAAGGGATGTGGATCCAGCTGATGAGTCCTAAAAGGACGAATTGCGCCTCCTGGATTCCACTGCTAACCACTATCCATCATTAGCATTAAATTAAAACAGGCAGTATCGAGGTATCTGGACAGAAGCAAAATATAGTGATAGAGACCGATCAATTCGGTTTAATCAACGACGGTTTAATACAAGTATCAACATAAAGATGATGATAATTGGAACAATGTTACAAAGTAATTGGAGGGAAAACTAACTTATAATGTTTGAGAAAGAGTTTAAAAGACTATTTTAGAATCATGTGGTGGTTGAGTAGGTATTTAGTCAACACTTCTTAGCACGGTACGTAATTCTCACCTCCAGAAGGCTATTCAATTTCTATCTTGGTTTCTGCAACCATTCGCAGTCTATGTGGCGGAATTTTGACGGGAGGTGTAAGCTATTAATAAGAGTGTGGTGTTCTTCAACCAGATTTTTGTGTTATCAGCTTGTGTGAACTCAGGAAATTCGCGTAGTCGGTAATTGTGTGCTAACGTTTTAACTGTTGGCAATACTACCAAGTTTGATTTTTCTGTGTTTAGGGATGTCTGAGATAGAGCATTCTGGATTACGTCTAACGAGTTTATGGCTACTAGAGACCAATAACAGTGATGAAAATCACCAGTGACTTGGAATGCGAAACAATATTATTAACTAGATAACGTTTCCAACACAATTAATGGTTCATATTCATATCAGGTGACTCCAAATCCTCGAGATAAGGTTTGTATGGCTCTAATTCCATCTCCTCATTTGTGATAAGGGTAGTAAGATTTTTTCAAATATCCAGTTCACTCCAGTATCACTACTATTCAGAAACTGTCCTCATCCGTCATTGATTACCGTTTGTTTCCATCATGCGATATCCGTTGTAACCGACTACCGGCCTCTCCGTTTCTTTCGATAAGGGTTGGTTTCAGGCCACACATTAATAGACCATTTTGCGCTTCATCACCGGACTCTATGATACCACCACAAATTCCTTTTCCATACAGTTTTACTCAGCTTCATCACAGGTACAGGATCATCTTTTGGAGGATTTTTGTGGTCATCTTTGCAACTGTAGACCTTTCGGATGCCCTGTTAGTATATCAGTCTTGCTCTGTAACGTTGTTACTTGGTCGTTCTGTGTTGGTGTAGTGACATATTCTATATGTTTTGGCATCCTTTTGTATATATGCTCGACAGTGCTGAGAATCTACTGGTGTCAGTTTCCGCATCTACAAACGCTGATACCTGTTGAATGCTTCAGCAAAACCTGTGTAGCCAAAGATGATGAACCAAATGATTGTCTACGTTCCTAGCACTTAACAGACTTCTCGTGTGTAGCTTAAGTTATTAAGGGACTCCTCACTTAGTTAAAGGCTACTTTGCATTTGGTTAACAGCTTTTTGATCTGATAAAAAGTGACTTTTATCACTTCTTTCTTTAAAACATTGTATGTTGCACCTGATTAGGATTTTAAGAGAGTCAGCTGTACTTCCTGCATAACTTTTAGCAAAGTAGAAATTTTCTACCCACTCTGTATTTTCGGGTTGGGAGTGCTGTGCTTGACGACGACGAAATATTCTCGACGAGCAAGTCAGAGATGCGAGTCGGTCCTGGAAGACTACTAACGCTAATGGAATTTTTGATTATTAGAATCCGGATACACTAGGAATGGTACAGGAAAATACAATAGTACTGGAAAAACACAATACAAGCAGTAATATAGAAGGTGTAAACTCTTGCCATAAAGCACCGGGGAGTATTTGAATATTACGTGACTGTCAGTTATTGGTAGTTGATTCATGCAATGGAAGTGATGATGTATTCACATGTTTCAAATGGAAAAAAAGCTATCTAGAAATTGTTTCATGAAGATGACAGTAGTTTATTGAGCTCATCTTGACCCCATTATATGTATTCGATCCACGAGATATTATCTTCATTCCTAATACTCCCCACACTGCTTATCCATCTGTATCGTAGAAGGCTAAGAAAGATCATTAAAAGTGCAATTATGAGATTGTATTGGCAGAATTACAAAGTTCAAGGCAAGTTGAGAGGTAATCGCTTGTTAAATATCAAGACCATTTGAAAAACCACAATTTGTATGACGAAGTTAAATGTATTGCTCTATACAAAATGAGATGTTTGTAAAACGACAGCGTTTGAGTCTGATAAGTCAATTATTTTAAAATTTGCAAGCTTATTTCTATGTGATGTGTAGATTGTAGAATTTATTAAGGTAGAGTCATCTGTTTAAAGGTTACCGATTGTCACACTCATAAATATTCTGATTTCTTAAACTGAAGATGCTTTCAAACTCTAACTACGGAAGTATTGGGTCATAGCAGAAGTAAAGAGGTGGACAAAGACATCACCGTTAGTTTAGAATTTCATTATCAGTTGAGAGTTATTTGGGCAATCAGCATCTTCTAGATTTTGCCATGAGATTTTCACTTGCTTGTTAGACAGCTGTCTGAGGGCCAACCACACATTCTGTTCTAGTTTATTTTCTGAACTTTGACGAGTTTGTTCCACTCAGACTGATTTAACTCCTAATTGAGTGAACACTTATCTGGCTATATTTTCTTTGTAACCGTAACAAAGATCCTAAGAATTCCACGCGACTGTCGTATAGTCTGTGACTCTTGAAAGTGTAACGGCCAGTTGTTAGTAAGTTCTCGTCTAGCCTATAGATAAGGAAAAGTGTTGCAGGGGGTGCGCAGAGCAGTGTGAGTTTGGTGGTGGCTACGAGAATCTGGTAAGGAAAAAAAGAAGAGAAGCAAGGTGAGCCGCCGACTCAGCAAGTACAAAAGCATAAATTACTAATAGAAGGGGCATAGTCTTTCAACTAAGAAAAACAAAAGCCATTGTGCAAAGAAAGGTCGAAAACGTTTAGAACACTTTAACATTAGTTTATAATCACAATATTTGTTCATATTCAGTTTCAGGTAACTGTCCCGATGAAACACACTAGACAGAACCAGTTTCCCGAAAGTTGCGTTCTTGGTCCGCTTCTATTTTTCAGGATAGTAGGATTGATGAGATATGTTCACATTCGCTATTGCGTTTAATTCATTTATTTCGATTATTCGAATTCGCATTAGATAGGATTCTACTATGAGGTAATGGAAAAGATTTGTAACTCAGGATGAAGAT